CCCTCTCTGCCTTATCCATCGTTACCGTCACTACCATTTGAGTAGGGCCGGCCCCCTCCTTAATAACGACTCCCAAGCCATCAAGAATGACCCCATAATTTATAGATTACCATTCTGCCGTTCTTTGGAGGGGCCGGGCGTTTTTCTACACTAACCTTTTCATGCACTCCGGCTTAACATAAACAAGCATGTTAAGATTGTTTTGAAAAGAAGCATAATTTCGACTCAGTTTCGCATAACCTAAAAATAAGAATACGGCCAGTCACCCCCCCCCCCCTCCCCTTAATGCATCCGCCTTCACGCACCCCCTTCCCCTTGTCTTTCCCTTATTCGTCGTTACTGTCACTAATTTTTAGTGCCATTTCGTTGTCTTGCTTTCTCACCGGCTCCTCTCTTCTTTTTCTTTCCTCTTTTTTGAACTCTCTCTCTTTTCTTTACTTTTTGTTCTGTTTTCTTTTATCTTCTCCTTTCCCCCCTTTTTTTCCCTTCTTTTTTTCTTCCTCTTTTTTCCTTCTCAATTTTTTTGCTTCGCCAATAGGGGGGGGGGGGGCCGCGGCCGTTTCGGCCCACCCCTGGATCCGCCACTGCTGCGGACTGGCGCCATTTCTTATTTGACCTCTTAGGGTCATCAGAGGTCAAATCGAAATGTGAAATAAACTAACTGAAAGGGATTAAGGTGGGTGACTATGCAGGGGAACCACTCCTAAAGAAATTTGAGAACATAAGGGGACAAAAAAATGGGAAAACATTTTGTAACTATTCAAAACTTGCTATGTTTTAATCAATTTTGACCTTGACCTTGACCTAAATGCAAAGCCCCGAGTTCTGGCGATCTCAAAATTATTACCAAAATGAATTGGCATCCCCAGGTTAGTTGAAAATGACACCTTAAACGCTTTTCTGGACTATTTGGTTCATGAGTTAAGCGTGTTTGTACAATTATTAGACCATGCGGCGGACTGGCGGCCATTTTTTATTTGACCTCTCAGGGTCATCAGAGGCCAAATCAAAATGTGACATAAACTCACTGAAAGGGATTAAGGTGCGTAAATTCCTAAAGAAATTTGAGAACATAGGAGAGAACAAATGACAAATAAATGGGAAAACTTTTGTAACCATTCAAAACTTGCTATTTTTTAGTCAATTTTGACCATGACCTTGACCTAAATGCAAAACCCTAAGTTCAAGCGATCTCAAAAGTATTACCAAATGAATTGGCATCCCCAAGTTAGTTGGAAATGACACCTTAAATGTTTTTCTGGACTATTTGGTTCAAAAGTTAAGTGTGTTTGTACATTAGACCATGAGGAATAGCGGCCATTTTGGATTTGACCTCTCAGGGTCATCAGAGGTCAAATCTGACTTCCCTCCACATCTGAAAATAAATCTTATGGTCTAAACTAACTATGCTAGAAGTTTCATGCTTTTCTCAAAAAGTGCACAATTTTCATTATATTGGGAGCTTATCCGCTGTACTATTCCTCCTAATTCGTTGTTACCGTCACTGCCATTTACGTATGGCCGGCCGGCGTATTTTTATTTACACGCTAGCGAGGGGAATTTCTCGATTAATTCCAATGAAACCGCTTAAAATTCCAATTTACATCCAGGAGAAAGTTTTCTTAACTTTTTCTTGAAACACTTGAACGGTTATGGAAACTGTTTGTGTTTCTAATCTCCAAATATTAATATTATTCTGCATCAAATATAAAACATTGATTTCTACTGTGATATGTAAAGGCACGAACTTACGTTAATACATACACATAATTTGTTTGTAACCAAGAAGGTGCACCATGGTAATACATTTTAACAAACACATCAACATGTTACCTAGACAACTCATCACCATAGCCATTGTAAAACCATATATTAATGATACATGTAAAATATAGATTGAAGCAATTCTCGTCGATTGGCTGTATCCTGAGTGTGATTTATATAATGGATTTTGAGTAACATTTGCATCTACCTGTAGTTGAAGAATAGATACAGTGTATAACATCAATTAAGTTGGACTTGGAGTTCAATTGGAAGGAAGTAACGAGGAATATTAAAGCAAGGGAGACTGGGAGATGAGGAAAGCAGGAAGTTAGAAATTGAGAGATTACTCGCGTGATAGCCTTGCATTAATGAATCCTTTATATAATGTTGTCTTGAGAGAAAGTAGACGATTTTTTTTTTAATTGGAGATTAGTGCAAGTATTAGATATATTGGAAATAGAATTAATGAGAAATTTATTTTTTATCGAGATCAATACATGGGGGGGGGGGGCACCATCAAAATAGGGCACTTTCTGGAATATAAGGTGCACCTACAAAGGGAAACATCAAAATGTAAATCTACCATATTAAGACATTGATAGACGTACGCGCAACGCATGTCACACACAGAAAAATGAGAAGAAAAGAAAGAATTATTTTTTTTTAAAGAAGATAGAGGAAAAGGAGAGAGACAGAGAGAGGGAGAGAAAGAAAGAAAGAAAGAAAAAAGGAAGAACATGAAACTTAACTTTACACTTAGGCCTACATATTACATTTCCGACTGAGTTGGCTCGACATGTGCTTAAGTAGTCTGCGGACGAAAGTACAACAATACGAAAACAGAAGTTATATGAAATTGTCTTTAAGAGAGAAAGAGAGGTTAAATTCTAAAATGAAATGAAAGGGGGTATGTGACTCTCAAGGAGGAAATTACAATTTCTATCGCTCATGACGACTATTTGGAATTTCCTAATTTTTTTTAAAGTTCAAGAACTTCCTGGTGCTCCGCCCCATGCAAGACTCCCGGCAACAGCGAATTATTTACACAATTTCTTGCTGTCTGCTGCCTCGAGATCACTGGAGCGAAGAAAGGTAACATTATAGCAAGAATCCCTATTCAGTGAAGGATTTATCCCTTTTATTATTAAAGACTCCCGACAAAGGCTCTCCCCCTGCAAAATTGGAGAGAGTTTTATGTAGTTTAAGCTTCTAACAACCACGCCCGTGGACTTTTTATTATTTACACAAAGGTAAAAGTGTATAGCAAGAATCCCTATTCAGTGAAGGATTCATCCTTTTTTATGCAGATGCTTCTTTTACCATTCTTGACCAGAAGTGCGTTTCAAACTCAATGATATGGGCATCATCCCATTGAATGTTGTGTCCAGTGTTACGGGTTTGTTTTGCTACTTGCTGCCTAATCTGAGGGCTCTGTTGTGCTCTTTAAAAAGAGGACACAATAGGGGCGGCGCAATTTAAATATCAAGGAATGTATTAGAGTTTATTTCTAAAATGAAATGAAAGGGCTATTTGACTTTCAAGAGCGATAAAAACTCTAATCCATCCCTTGAAATTTAAATTGCACTGCCCCCATTCAGTGTGCCATTTTCAAAGAGCACAAAAAGGCTTCAGATTGAAGATTCCATCTCATAAAATTGTCTATCAGAGAGAAAGAGAGTTTATTTCGAGAGAAAAATGAAATGAAAGGGCTATTTGACAAGAGCCCTTTCATTTCATTTTAGAAATAACCTCTCTTCCTCTCTTATAGACAATTTTCTCTCTTGAAAGTCAATAACCCTTTCATTTCATTTTAGAAATAACCTCTTTTTTTCTCCTAAAGACAATTTCTTTCTTGAAAAGGCTCTACCAGACCCCTCAAGCTCTGCCACGTTGTATGGATCCATTAGAAAGCAAAATAAGCCCACTCAATAATTGATACATATTAAAACGTCATAGCGATTCATCCTGCACGTAAGAGGCATTTTGAATGTTTTAAGAAAATTCTTTCAAATTCCAGGATATTGGGTGTTCTTTTTCAGGAAACTCTATTTAAACGAGTGGAAGCACTGGCGGTTCTGTTTTTTTTTTAAACTGTAACAATTCTCCTTGGATCAGATATAGACCAAAAACAAGCCTCATTATCTTCAGTATACAAGTGTCATTTCGGACCTTACAGCTTTCATAGAAATCGCTTCTGGACCGTCAAAGAAAAAGTTTGAGAACTCCTGGTCTACGCATTATACACATCAGGACCAACTTGACAACTTGACAAAAATTTGAGGGGGGTTTGACCCCCCCCCCCCCCCTCTGCCTTATCCATCGTTACCGTCACTACCATTTGAGTAGGGCCGGCCCCCTCCTTAATAACGACTCCCAAGCCATCAAGAATGACCCCATAATTTATAGATTACCATTCTGCCGTTCTTTGGAGGGGCCGGGCGTTTTTCTACACTAACCTTTTCATGCACTCCGGCTTAACATAAACAAGCATGTTAAGATTGTTTTGAAAAGAAGCATAATTTCGACTCAGTTTCGCATAACCTAAAAATAAGAATACGGCCAGTCACCCCCCCCCCCCCTCCCCTTAATGCATCCGCCTTCACGCACCCCCTTCCCCTTGTCTTTCCCTTATTCGTCGTTACTGTCACTAATTTTTAGTGCCATTTCGTTGTCTTGCTTTCTCACCGGCTCCTCTCTTCTTTTTCTTTCCTCTTTTTTGAAATCTCTCTCTCTTTTCTTTACTTTTTGTTCTCTTTTCTTTTATCTTCTCCTTTCCCCCCCTTTTTTTTCCCTTCTTTTTTTCTTCCTCTTTTTTCCTTCTCAATTTTTTTGCTTCGCCAATAGGGGGAGCCGCGGCCGTTTCGGCCCACCCCTGGATCCGCCACTGATTATATGTAGTTTGCTCCTCTCTTTTGTAGTTACTTCAATGTTATCTTTCCTGTAGTTTTCCTTTTTCTTTATGTAGTCTGCTTCTCTTTTCTATAATTTCTTCATCTGCATCTTTCTTGTAGCTTTTATTTTCTTCTGATAAACATCATTCAAGATTTAGATTCCAGGATCGAACCACATTCCAATAACTATGACTCATACTAGGCCCAAACCCCAGTCACTTACACTCTCCATAGCCACTCCCCATAATACCATGACAACCATAACCATTGACCAATGATAAGCATGAATAAGTCACCCCTCCCGACATTGGTTTTCTCCCCAAACTTTCCTGAATGTAAAGTTGGATAATGATAGGAACTTTGGTTTTAGCGATCACCCGCTGAACAAGGGTTTTGAGATAGACTAGCTACACCTACAGGCAAAGGGAGAGATAATATTGTGTATCTCGGATTCTAGAGTCGTCTACAAGAGTCATTGTGTTATGTATAAGCGCTAGCAAGAGGATTGAATAAATGCTGCTGAAACTGTAAACAAGCTCCTCGCCTCATCCTTTTATGCTCCTCGCCTACAATCACCGATCCGTACACGACAGTAGTAATGGAGGGAAATTTGATTGTATTTGGTTTATGTCTTCTTGTAACGGCATTTTCCTTCATTTTCCTTGGAATTTTCTTCTACGTTTCGTACAACCGGAACATTTACAGTCACATTCCTCATCCGAAACCTCTTCAGTAAGTCATAACGGGAATTTTATGTTAGCCTACCCGGCCCGCACCCTGGCGCGGACGGGCGGCCTTGGCCTTCGTGCGGCCGGTAGTTTAGCCTCTGCTAGCGCTAGCTCTAGCCTCCAGCCTGGCTGTGTATTAAAAGCTGTGCTATTGATTCTTAACATTTCCAAACACCACTGTACAAAACTCAACTAATTTTACTCGAAATCGGTACTTTAGTGACGATTGATGACACCTAAATAGCAGTAAAATACAACTTTTCAACTTTCCGATGTTAGGTACTTAGATCTAGAGGGAGATTAAAAAATTTAAATTCTGTGTCCACTGTCAAACTTGCCGATCAGCCGCATCGGCATGATCGTGTGTATCTGTGTGCTGTGAGTGTATTGACTATTCATGTATTCAAATGCTGCCTATTAACACGTAGTGTAGTGCTAAAGGTCAATACGCATTAGCATTGACTCTCTTTGCTTTGCTTGAGTGCTCGCTCTAGCCTATTCTAATCTAAGCTCTTAGTCTTAGACCGAAAATTTCTGTCTCTTTCGTTTCGTTAGCCTCCTATTTGGGTAGGTAGGTAGGGTCGGCTCCTCTCTTTAGAGACAGGAGCCAACCATAGGGTCTCCTGTGCAAGCTTTGCAAACGTTGTTGCCATTTTTGGCCACTAGAATCTAGTTCTCTACTAAAGACTCTACCATATTTTAGCGGATTCGTATTATAGTAAGATATACAGTGCGTCCCAGAAAAAATGAAACCGAGAAGTATCGATGTTCTATCATAACTTAATCACAACTATAATTAATGAATGATACATATTTGGAAAGCTTAGAGTCTCCTCTTTCATGTGATGCTACTCAGATGATGCATATTTCACGCATGAGTGATTAAAAGCAATTTGAAGGAAGTAAACCAAAAAGACATTTGGCGGGTGGTATCTGAATTTCGAAGAAAAATTCACATTTCTAAAAAGTTGAGTTTCTGCCCTTTCATATGACACCTCAATCAGGAAAAATGAGCAAGGAATGACAAAGTTCTGTTTGTTTAAAGTAGTGCTTGCATTTCCATAATTTTATTAAACGAATTCGTTTTCACTGGCTGCCCGCCGTATCAATAAACGAAATAACAAAAGACTTAACTCCGTTTCGTTGACAATCAGCCGTAGACGAGAGTCTTCATGCATGGCTGATTGTCAACGAAACAGAGTTAAGTCTTTTGTCAAATCTGCTTTTTGCAGGCACCCAGTGAAAACGAATTCGTTTGTTAAAATTATGAAAATGTAAGGGCTACTTTAAACAAACAGAACTTTGTTATTCCTCGCTCATTTTTCCTGATTGAGGTGTCATATGAAAGGGCACAAACTCAACTTTTTAGAAATGTGAATTTTTCTTCAAAATTCAGATACCGCCCGCCAAATGTCTTTTTGGATTCCTTCCTTCAAATTGCTTTTAATCACTCATGCGTGAAATATGCATCATCTGAGAAGCATCAACTGAAAGAGGAGACTCTAAGCTTTCCAAATATGTATCATTCATTAATTATGGTTGTGATTAAGTTATGATAAAACATCGATACTTCTCGGTTTCGTTTTTTCTGGGACGCACTGTATAATAAAATGCAAGACGGATATATATCGGCTCACCTTCTTTCCAAGAACCATACGGGCCTGGAATTTACTTCCCCCCAGCATCTTCGCCTTCGACGCAGTTGAAACCTTCAAAGCCAGACTCTGGGAAGCAATCCAAGGGGGTAATATAATCATAGTCCCTCCCCACAACTGCAATGTGATGGGACTCAATTCTAAAATGTTCTAGAAAGAAGCAGCAAACACTCTCTCTCGAACGATAACGTTCTTATTGGTCATCTTTATATCCCTCTTGAGGATCAGGACCAGGATCAGAACAAATACAGATACAGATAAGATGCATTTATTTTTGAAAATTAGGCCTAGGCTAATATACATCGGTTCCACTTACCAGATTGACTGTATGATGCGAATATAAAATAAGTTTTTTTTTTCCGGATTTTCTTCGTCGAAATAGAGCTCCGTGTTGAAATTCTTGCAGCAGTATTTTAAACTATTAAGCTCCTTTCACACCGGGCCATGCGTAGAGATGGGTAGTGTACCGACTACGCCGAGCGTACGCTGCCCTACGCTAGCCTATACGCTGAGGAACGCAAAGGGGTACGCGAGATGGACGCAAAACATTAAACATGTTTAATTTGTTGGTGTACTTTCGGCGTAGACACTAGACGCAGAAAGTATGCAAGTCTACGCAACTCTACAGTACGCCAAGCCTACGCAATAGTATGCATAATGCTACCCTACGCCAGTCCGATGAAGCAGTAGAAGCTTGCGCACACAGTAAGCAACTGTACGCAACTGTAAGCAAACCTGTACGTCAGGCATACGTAAACGTACGCAACCCTACGCTTGCAAGGCTGTCAACCCTCCCGCATTTGGAGGGAGTCTCACGCCACCACGCTTATTTTCCCGCCGCCCCAACAGCTCGTAGCGGGATATTCCTGCCACCACGCCTTCCTCCCGTTCTCCCGCCAACGATGTAAAATCTCACGGTTTATGAAAAAACCTCCCACCAAACCGTACCGTATACCAACCCCTCCCTTTGTTTAGATGTAGCAAAAATCTGACTTGGACGACGAGCGCACAAATCGTAGGCATAGAAGCCTTATGCCCAGGTATTAGCCTCCCTACTCAAGGGCTAGGTGATAAACAGACAGAAATAATTGTATGGTGTTTGGAATTCTATTATAAATAACTAAGGGTAACAACATATGAGACCTTGCCTCCCTCCCTTCCCCTTCCCCTCCCCACCCCTCCCCCACCCTCCCTCACCCTCCCCCACCCCTCCCCGGACACCACCAGCTCTTTATTCCCTATCTTGACTAGCATTTATCCCAAGACTTCTAAAGAGAAATAGAAAAGTCAAATAGAAGAAAAGAAAACAAATGAATCAATGGCATAATAGTTTCAATTATCTTATTTATGCACAGCTTCTTGCTTGGACATCTACCGCTCTTCAAAGAGGTTGCCAAAAATGGACCAGTGGCGAAAAAAATGGTTGAGTGGTAAGAAATACTCTTCTACCTTTCAATGGGGGTTTTGGATTAAGCATTGCAGTAATAATTACTACTATCACATGACTTTGCCATGGCAAACAAAGTAAATCATAAAACTGGACTACCTACATGATTATAATTGAAGCAGTGTAGAAATTATGGTTTTGTTCCTCGTTCCTATGTATTGGCAAACTGAATGGATACAAAGATTGTTTAAATTTCTCATAATTTATTTGCAATTCAATAAACTGACTGGCAGCTTTATACAGGGCTGTCAACCCTCCCGCGTTTTGGAGGGAGTCTCACGCCACCACACTCATTCTCCAGCCGTCCCAATAGCTTGTAGCGGGAGATTCCCGCTTCGATGTAGAATCTCACGGAAAAACCGCCCGCCGAACATTTAAAAAAAAAAAAAAAAACCTCCCCCGAACATTCAACAACAACAAAAAATGTCCTCTTACCCCCCAAAAAATTTGCCTCCCTCGAAGCATTTCCCCAAAGTTAACAGCCCTGTTTATATACAGGCAGTGCTATAAAGTACTAACCAGAATACCAGATTTTAAAAAAAATTGATGTGTCTCCCCTTTACTTTATATTGATAATATTTAGGAGCAAAGAACTGGGTCCAGTGTACTGTCTCCACATTGTTTTCAGAACTCTCATCATGTGTAATGACTCAACAGTTATCAAGGTAACTTCAGTTTAGAATTAATGACATTTTATGCCATTTTGTTTCTTCATTTGTTGAAGAAAAAAATATGGGAGGACTTGTAATTTTATGTGAAAGTTGTGAGGCATATATGTATACATGGACAAAATTTCTGATTGACTTATTATTGAATTAAGAGATTTTGTTTGTTTTTATTACCCATAAATAGTGCTCCGTCATTTTGCTATCAGTCTCAATTTCGAATGCATATTGATATTTGATTTATACCTCAAATAGGACAATGGTTGTGTTTGCAACTGTGGATAGAATTGTTTCTCGATTGTATAGCTTCCTGAATTTATTGTTAAAATCTTGTCATGATTTATTGAGCCATTTGCTTTACTAATCACTTCATAATATGGATGGAGAAATCCCTGAGTGTCTAAGTGTATAACTTAGTTTTGCCCCCCCCCCCCCCCATATCCTCTAGTACTACTAGCCTTTCTGAAAAGAGAGAGGAGATATATGTATGGCAAGGTTTGAGGTTAAGTTTATACCTGATACTAAAAGATTAGAAATGTGATTTGTCAAAGTTCATGTCAGGAAGGGAAAATTCACATATTATCAGCATTTATAAACCTTCATTGTATTAGAAATTTAGACTAGAAACAAATAACACAGTCGCACATGTATTTCTGACACCAGTTATGACCAGTTTCCCAACATCGATGTACTTAATGAAGTCTGGTCATGTGATTAGATAGAAAATTGAAACCATTTGGGCAGTGGTGATTATGTAGTACTTAAGAATTGATGTATACTGTGAGGTTTTGGTCTGATCGCAATATGATATAAATTGACTCAGTATTGCTGAGAATCACATGCCCTGCACACGGAAATGTGTATTATAAGGCTGCATACACATGACATGAAAGTTTGGTCCAAACGTTAAAGCTACATTTATTTCTCATCATATTTTGAATGTGAGGGCATTTTTTAGCAAATTTCTACCAGGGTTGGCATATTTCCCTCTGCGGAGGCTTATTTCCCGGACGCCGGGAAATAAGCGGTATTTACCGGTATTTACCTCTTTTTACCGGTATTTACCACTTTTTACCGGGAAATATATTTTTCCACTCACTTGTTCATAGGGATTGTCTAATTTTTAACATAATAACGATGGTGGTGAGTATGGTTGCTCTTGTGTGTACTATTTGTGTGTGTGTGTTTGTTCGTGTGTTTGTCTATGTCTGTAATTACATGTATGTAATGCTGGAAAAAAATACAGGAAAAAGATACCAAATATACACCTAATCTAGATATGATGTTCTTCATTAAAGGGAACCAAAACCTTCATACTAAGTTACTTTTATTGTAAAGTTTAAGATATTTGAATAAAATCAGTGAAAAAATTGAACAAAATCGGGCAAGGAATAAGGAAGTTGAAGCTTTTTAAAATGACTTGTCACTAGAGGGCGATATTCAATTTGATGACATCATTTGTGGACAACTCTCCATGCCTTTTGAACATCAAATTTCACAAGTCTTTCGTTTTTTTCCTATTTATTTGTGTTCTTGATCGGATTTCATAACATGTGAAGTAGAAAATCATTTTGCATTCTATTATCTCAATCACAAGAAAGAAGAAAAAACATGAAATTTGATGTACAAAAGGCATGGAGAGTTGTCCACAAATGATGTCATCAAATTGAATATCGCCCTCTACTGACTAGTCATTTCAAAAAGCTTTAACTTCCTTATTCCTTGCCCGATTTTGTTCAAATTTTCACTGATTTTATTCAAATATCTTTAACTTTACAATAAAAGTAACTTGTATGAAGGTTTTGGTTCCCAGTTGCTAATTACCATATTCATGAATACCTATTAATTAGCATATGCACAAAATGCCATTTGTTTGGGTGTGTACAATTTTGTATGCAGTGAGGATTTTATAAATCTGTTTGTGTGTTCCTACTATGAGTATTGTGCTGCTAATTATTTCAGAACAATATTTTCAGTTACGAGGCTAAAAACAAGTAAAATTATTGATAAACAGAGAATTAAAATCATATTTCCCGCTTTTTACATATTTACCGGACGCGCATCTTATTTACCGGACGGTATTTACGGGTATTTACGGGTATTTACCGCCGGTAATTACCGCCACCGGTATTTACCGCCCAACCCTGCTTTCTACAATAATACACTTCGAAACTAACATTAAAAGAACAAGAAAGCTCACAAATTATTTGTCATGTTTTAAAGGTATTATGTCCCATCTGCAGGTCAAAAAAATAAAAAGGTTAAATTCCAATGGCATTTGAAAGACAATACTTATTTAGAACTTCCCTCAAAACGAAAGGGTTTAAAAATGGCTTTTTGTAGGAAAATAACGATTAGTTGTCGAATCAACATAAGTGATTGCAATCAAAGTAATAGTCTGATTTCCAGACCCTTGTACTGAATAGTTGAACGTTTTGTGCTGCACAAAAATTCAATCAGTTTAATTTTGGCCATTACAAGTAGTGGTTTATTGATGTGGACAAATGCTCATGTACCTGTTACAGCTCATTTTATGTTATTACCAAAGAAAAAAAGATGTCAGTCAGTCACTCAATAGTGTCTGACAGGGAAGTCTAAAAAGTAAACAGATTTCCTTGCATAATTTGAATACAAATACACTGATGTTTAAATTTCACAGATACATGTAGGACATACATGACATATTCATAATTATTGTTTTACAGAATTTGATGTTGGCTGCAGAAGGGACATATTATCTTTAACTAACCTATTTAATAACCTTCTATTTAAGCAGAAAAATGAGATGAACATTTCTTGTACAAATGGCACCTTGTGATTTGTAATTACTTTCAATCATGATACAATCTGAGTACGGTAATTATTTTCTCTTGTGAAGGAACTTCTGACACGAAGCAAATACTTGAAGTCGCCTGATAATTACCGTGGCTTGAAGTCTGTGTATGGAGCCATGACCCTAGGTAATGGTCTGCTCAGTGAGATGAATCATGAGGTCTGGATGAAGAAACGTGCTCTCTTTAATCCTGCTTTCCATCGCAAGTAAGAATCCCACATATGCTGGCCTTGCCTCATAAGACGAAAGGGGGGAGGGGGGAACAGTCATTTTATAATTTTTGCCACATTTTACTTTCTGCTTTTTTAACAAGTCTCAACCACAATTCCAACAATGCATATGAACCTGACAACTAGAAATCAAACACAGTTTAATTTCATCCATTGTTAATCAAATGAGAAGGCCTTTTTTGTTTAATTTGTCAAAAGTGAACATGTTGTCTTATGATGAATAGCAAAAGATCTTTTGATTATTGAACAGTTATCATCAATCTGTCCATGCCATTTTCCTGTAATTTGTTTTGATCTGTAGAAACATTGGCAGCATATTAATAGCAATGACTTCTTGATAAAAGGCTTTGTTCTGTCCTGTGATGAGGAATACAAAGTAAAATCATTCTTTGAACATTTTCAAACTCTTCTGTCAAGATAACAAATATGTACAATGTACACCTTCAAAATGTAATGTAAATTACATGTACAATGCAAATGGGGAGTAGAGTGCAAATAGATAAAGTTTATGAAGAAATCAATTTTAATTATATTCTAAATGCATGTTTTTTAAGTTTTTGTGCCACTACATTTTGCTAAAGAATTGATTTGTGATGCCTTTTCTGCAGATATTTAATGGGCCTGATGAATGAGTTCAATAGCTGTTCAGCTAAACTGGTCAATCATTTGATCCCGTTAAGTGATGGTCAGACGGAGGTCGTCATGTTGAAAGAATTTGAAAGGTTGACCTCGGAAATCATTGGAAAGGTCAGTGCACTAAAAGTCCTCATATTAACCTGGGGCTGTTATTTTTCATGTTATTGAGAAATATTTTTTTATGGCAATTGGCAAACTGAAATTGCATGGAATAGACTCTTTAGTGTTGGTGCTTGCACAGATGTTTTTCTTAACTGTACATTTAAACAGCCAGCTTTGTGCACAAATTAACCAATGACTTTTTCTAATTTCAGTTTGTTATGACAGTTGAAATATTTTTTGCTAACATAATAACATAATTTTCAGAATGCTATTCCTTTTTAAAAATGGCTTTAGTTTAATTTCGTTTATTCCTGCATTGTCTGGGCTTTCTTCTCAATATGATAATGTTATCTCAAAATTGCTTAATGACTTCATTTGTGGTATTATGATTACGGAAGCTACATGTATCTAAACCATTGGCTAAGCTTTCTTGGACTTCTTGATCTAGAGCATACTTTGGTGTACTTTGAATCACAGCTACTGAAAAAATCAAATGCTTTTTTTGGTCTCTTTTACACATTTTATTCATATTTTCTTTCATACTTTTAAATCTGCCTTTTATAGGGTACCTGAGTAGAAATACATGTAGTACATGACTTGTGTGAATCAACTGGGACCATTGTCCCCCCATTGCGGTTACAATGGTGATACATGTAGCTTTAAAGTACATATTTTGTGTTGTAATATGATTTTTGTATTGATTTCAAAGTATTTGTGTATTTTTTAGGTTGGATTTGGAATGGAGGATGATATCATTGGGAACCCAGATTCCCCTCTTTGCCAGCTCCTTCCAAAGGTTTTGTCTGGCATGAATTCTGTTTACAGACGTCCACTATTAAAGGTATGTCAATCACAGACCACGTGTCATATAGGGGTCAGAATCCCAAATGATCCCACCCCCCCCCCCCCCCCCCATACGTTTGTTTCCTGGGATGATATTTGTAGTTGATATTTCACAATATTAGATGATGATGATAATAGTGGCTTGTTGTATAGCGCCAGTGCCAACTTCTGCTGGTTGCTCATAGCGCTTACTCTACAATATTTCACTATTTCAATCTTCTTGGTCAGTGTTATTTAGTCTTTGTTAGCATTACAGTTTTATTCAGTTTGGCCAATTATGTAAATGTAGTTGTGAGTGAAGTAAATTCATCTGCCTTCTAGAATGATGTTTCCTATATTTAGTTGAATGCCTTTCCAAATACCCTCCTATTAGGCTCACATCCAACTGTTTCTTTTAGAGTTATCTACTGCTGCAAACAGAATTAGTAAATATCTAAGTTATGATGGGGATAGGGATTCATGTATGACAATGTGATACATTAAAAATGTATCTTTACTCATTAAGGAACAAGAAATTATAGGGTGATATTTAATACAGTGTATGTGTCTCTTTTCAAGGTATTTGGATAAAACAATGGGTTAGCTGTATATTAATAATGTATGTTGCTGCTTGTAAGTGTCGGCTTGCATGGTGATGTAGACAGGGCTCAAATTAATTTTTTGTCCACGGGGGCTCTTCCCCCGAAAAAACAGCCCCCGTGAGCCTTCTCACGGGGGCTCTTTTATTACTGACGGGGGCTCTTTTTTATACAAATATCCATTGAATTGGTACCTATGATACTCCTCAATTATTTGCTATTTCATCATTATCATTTCAATCAGCATTTTCCCTCTTACAAATTTACAAGCTACATAGCTGTTACTGGCCTGTGTATATAATATATACGCATACAACACTAATCTTTATGATGTCTTTAACGTGACATATCTTCTTCTCCCCTTGCAAACGAAAAAGAAAACATGTTCATTAAAAGGGATTAAGCGACAAATAATGATTGTGATTCAAATCGATGCGAATATTTGTTTGAATAAGCACTGCTATTCACCCGAATCTTCTTTGTAAAAATAACTTTTACAAATCTCAGCCATGCTTACTGAGTTAAGACGTTCCATTCAATTTAAAATACCCATTACATAATACACTTCTCCTAATCTCAAAGTGATCTTACAGCACAGTGGCAGAATTGCATGGCTGAGATTTGTAAAAGTCGTTTTTACAAAGAAGATTCTGGTGAAAAGCATTGCTTATTCAAAAAAATCCTTGCATCAATTTGAATCACAATGATTATTTGTCGCATGGTCCTTTTATTGAATAACCTTGTTTTCTGTTTTGTTTGCAGAGGGAAAAGAAGCTATGTCACGTTAAGAAATCATAAAGATGATACCAGAACAAATGTTGATTATCAGAATGTCATTTTGGAATACCTCTATACAAATACCACATTGTCTTTAGCCCGTATCAGTATTAGTATGATCCAATATAAAGCTATTATTCTTTATTTAATTCAGTATAATGCTTTTCCTCAAAAATAGTTTTGCTATTTTTTAGGCTAAGAAATGGTTTCAAATGTACATTACATTACAGTACATTACATTACGAACCCTGAACCATTGCAAAATGATGGTGGTTCTCTCTCTCTCTTTATTTTAATCATGCATTATCAACTACATATAAAGCAGCATCCAAAAACTTAGGGTTATCTGAGATAGGTGAGGTAAGAGTTAAAAAGAAAGTCATGCTAAAATGGCGTTTCACTTCCCCCCGCCCCCTGAACAAAATAAAATAGATTAGTAGTCCTCCTCTCCAGAATCCCCTCCCCCCCCCCCCCCCCCCCCGCTTTAATATCACATTTTCACTTGGCAGCCCAAGGGGGCCGGGGGGCGAATTTTTTTTTCCCAAACAGGTTTACCTATGAGAGTAAAATCCTGCCTCCTGATTGGTTCAGAGGTATACGCGTCATGAATATTCACGAGCTGAGTTCACAGCACTGTGGCTGAGCTGCAGTACCTAGTATATGTATTACGCATGCGCGTGGACTTCAGTTTTGCTGGCCATTTTAAGGTGTACAAAATGTATGTGAGCTAGCTGTGGTGCGAGGGGATTTTTATTGGGGGAAGGGGGGGGGGGTCTGTTTGTTTTTGAACATTTCTGGTTATTCTGGTGCTTGGTTTATATAGTTTTACACTGCGGATTTTTTTTCTCAAAGAGTTCACTTACAGTACACACACTAATATTCCAATTTCACACATAGGCTATACATACAAACACTATCTTTCTCTCTCTCTCTCTTTCTCTCTCTCGCTCTCTCTCTCTCTCTCTCTCTCTATAAACACACACACCCACCCACCCTCATGTATTTGCAAACACATAAGCAACAAATGCACACACTAGCTGTCAAGAATACACAATAGACACACACAAGGGGTATGAATTATCTTATCAGGATGGTCCGACATGAGATGGTTGGATGTGGGTCAAAGCCACTGTGTTGCTCCGAGCATGATATCTTGACAAACATTTAATATTATCACCCGTAACTGAAACCAACACACAATTAATATCACGGTATTAGTCTCTTTTTTGTTCCACCAAGCTAATTTTTGCACCTTGCACAAATGCACTTCTCAACATGAAATATTTCACTAAATTTGTTTTGTTATTTTCACTCAAAATTAATTCAGCCATCAGGGGCGGATCTAGCTTTTTGCTCAGGGGGGGGGGGGTTGACCAATAATGACGATGCGGAGCATCGTCCACGAGCCGCGAAGCGGCGAGCCGATTTTTTTTTGGGTGTTTATTTGAACCCCGTATGTCATGTTTTCCTGGCATCTATTAACACAATGGAGACCATAAAAAGCAGTGCATGATAACGTCTTTTTAAATCAAGTAACAGTTAAATACACAGTTATATCCAGAGTTATCATGTGTTTGGTTAAGTTACCAGATGAGTTGAATATCTTCTCACAATATTTGCACTTGAAAGGGTTTCTCTCCAGCGTGCGTTCTTTTTTCTTTCTTTTTTTTCTTCTTTTTTTCTTTTTTTTTTCTTTTTTTTTTTTTTTTTTTTTAATGTGGGGATTTGGGGGATGAGAATCGGCAACGCTGGCCTAGCTTGTCACTTCGGCGGTGGCCCGTGTCCTCAAAAAAGCTGATGGGGGGGGGGGGGCAAGGGACTCTGTGCCATTTGTTCGCCCAACCCCCCCCCCCCCCCTCCCCCCAAAAAGAAATAATAATAATAATAATAATAATAATAATAATAATAAATGAAATAAATACATAGAAATAGAATAAAATAAAATTACAAGTTTTAAAAAAAAAGATAAGATTTTAAAAAATGGTCCCCGGATTTTTTTTTTTGGGGGGGGGTTGCAACCCCCCCCCCCCCAACCCCCCCCCTCTAGATCCGCTTCTGGCCATGCTCACTTTTAATCACTTCACTTTTATCTTATTTAACATTGAATACAATGCAGTTGCATGGGTTGTTCTTTTATTTTGTTAACTCGGCAGAGGCCACGGTCATGTTCAAGCATGTACGCTTACGACATGTGGTCTCCTGCTTTTTCCTTTTGTATGAAACTTTTATTTTAACTAGAAACAAATTTTGTCAAACTTACATGTTATCCATCATATTTATTTGTATGTTTCTTTGTATTGATATGAAAAAGTGGAAATAAAACAAAACAAACAAACATATCAGTGGTTCTGGTTCCTTTGTGACAGATGAACCTGGCCAAAGAAAACAAAGGACATAAAGTAATATATACAGGCTCTACACACATGTCAAAGACAAGCTTTTATTATTAATATGCATACCAAGTGCACATTACACTGATTCATCTCTTATTTAAACATGAATATCTGACTAAGTCCTTTTCAATCTTTATATCTTCAAACTTCTTTTCTCAAGATTATCTTACTTAAATCAGAATCAAAACAATATTTAAAGGACATCCATTTCATTGCATTAATTTGAGCTTTCAACAATAAATACAAACAGCAGGTTCATAACCTTTGACCTACTTTCATGAATTTAAACTTGATATGACATGCACAGGATATGATTTTACATTTTCTGTTATTAAGATACAATCCCCACACACATTTATTTCACTGCCTCTGTCAACTAAATTTGAGACTCCATATAAATTATATTGCATGCATGTGTCACTGCTTTTGAGACTAATTCAGAATACATAATAACATAACCTACTGACACTATATAGTCTACTGACAATTTCAAAGCATTAACATAAAAATGGGATGGGCCGATTTACAATTTCACAATAATATTGTGGTACTTACATAAAGACTTGTATGGTTCTTGCAGAAGAAATCGGTATTCTCTTCTTTAGAGCGACCAAAATTGCAGAGAGTTGTACTTGTAGACTCCGCCATAATACTATAGCTCATGTAAAAGTTATAACTTAGAGCCAATCACTGCGCATGGCGCATGCATATCCATGTATGCAGTGTATAGCCTACGTACTATAGCTGCGCTGCATCAACGAACTCAAACTTGATTTCGATGAGCTGCATGAGCAGCTTCGCCTGGTGTCACGCGCATGCGTAATACTACTAGTATCTTTCAGCTCAGTCATGAATATTCATGATGCGTATACCTCTGAACCAATCAGGAGGCAGGATTTTACTCTCATAGGTAAACCTGTTTGGGAAAAAAAAATTCGCGGCCGGGGGGGGGGGGGTGGGAGGAGGGCCCCCCTCCTCCCACCCCCCCCCCCCCCCCCCCCCCCCCGCCGTAGATCTGCCCATGTTACCATATCATTCCACGACATTTTGGTCTTCCTCTTCTCCTCAAAAGGGACTTTTAGATTTGCGTGGACGTGGACGTGGACGTGTTACGTCCTTTTAAGGCACTGGCAATCACATGTGACGTCCTTTTAAGCACTGTCAGTGCCTTAAAAGGAGGTCACACGTTGCAGTCCACGTTCTCATCGTGCAAATCTAAAAGTCCCTAATATTGATTTACTGGTCGAGGTTCATTATTTGCTAACAACGAAAAACTTCTCCAGGCCATGACCATGTTTCTGCCCTTGCCCGATCGCCTCCAGCTCCAGCAGACATGGCGCGGCAGCGTGCACACGCACCGCTACTAACGGCGCAGTAGGCCTATAACCACTGCTCACGGGGGCGAATCGCCCACCGCCCCCGTGTATTTTGAGCGCTGGATGTAGATATACAGTAGGCTTGCAGGTGCACCATGTGAGAGAGAGAGAGAAAGGGTTGAGGAGTCCTGAAAAGGACTCTGACTCAGTAATCTTTCTTGGGGGTGTGTAGTCCTGAAAAGGACTGTTTTGTTATCTTTCTTAGCTTATAGTTATAGAACAGGTTGACTATCCGTCATCAGGAGTGGAGAATAGCTGGCGTGCGTGAGCTTAAGTCACCGGGGTGCGGACGTCAGGGGAAAATAGGTAACTGTGTGGGCTTGAGTCATCGGGGGATGGACAAGGATGGTCGGCTTGTTCGTCTGACTGTCCGTCTTGGCTGGAGTCTCCGGGTTGCGGACTTCGGAGAGTTTTCAATCTATGAGTGGGGTTTGTTGTCGGCGAGACGCTGTGTGTGTCCCTGACGTAGGCGGCGTTGTAGTCTGTTGTCGTCTGCTTTCGTTGTAGCAGTGAGGCTGGCGGCTGCTTTGAGGGTTCGACGGGTAGCCAACAAGCCCGCAGCCAACACCACCCCGGAAGAGGACCAACCCGCAGCTACACCACCGAAGCAAATTGTTGTTCTTCCCTATACCGGTCAAGCCTCTCACTAGATTCAACGTATCCTTCAAGCAGCAGACATCCAAGTTCGACACAGTTCCTCCAACAAACTCCATTCGATACTCCACTCCCACAAAGATAAGCATCCAAACCACAAGAAAGCTGGTGTCTACAAAATACCATGCGAAAGTGGAAAAATCTACATTGGTGAAACAGGGAGAAATCTGGAAACAAGACTCAAGGAGCACAGAACCAGCTTCAGACTCAGCGATTGGGATATTTCTCCTTAGAGCTATAAGCTAAGAAAGATAACAAAACAGTCCTTTTCAGGATTACACACCTCCAAGAAAGATTACAGAGTCTGAGTCTTTTCAGGACTCCTCAACCCTCTCTCTCTCTCTCTCCCATGGTGCACCCGCAAGCCTACTGTATGAATAATGTATGTGTTTATTAATGTATTCTTACTTTACAGTACAGCATCCTTCCCAAAGACATCAAATACAAACATGAGGTTCGAGCTGCAGCTAATGAGATCCGAGCGGTGGGTCGGCGTTGCATCTTGGCTCGTATAGATGCTCTTAGACGGGGTGACCAAGTTCCTCAAGACATTCTAACTTACATCCTCCAGGAGTCAAACAACTTGGAAGGAATCAAAGACTTTGACTTAGAAGATATGGTCGATGAGTTCGTTACCTTTTTCGGAGCTGGTAAGTTTTTTTGTGCACCATCTTGCTTTTCTTATTCTTATAATAAACTGATTTAGTGGTCAGCTGTCTGTCGCCATGCACCCTTAATCCAATTCTGATAACTCAAAACTCAAGTTCATCTTTCAGATGACGACTTTAAAGGTTGGTATCCAGACGTGGATGGGATCTGATTGACAATATACAGTATCTATAAAAACCTGATTACACATTTTACGTTTAACACACTTCCACAAATCACCGTTATAGTACTATGCCTACTAAGGATGCATCGGTACTGATTTTCCAAAAGAGATGGTTGACCGCTTTGCATATTATAGGCTATTTCTGAAGTTTATTTCCAAAGTTTATGAGGTAAATCTGCTTTTACAGTATGAAAGGTTAGCAAGGAAGTTGATATAAATGTCAGTGTGAGAAAAATTGTGTTTATGTGAAATAATTCCTACAATACATGCTATCTTAGAACAGACTGCAAATGTAATCCAACTGTTTATATTTTACTTTTTATGCTTCCGCTACAAAGGTAAGGTTCATAAGATAAGGTTCATCTTTATTGTCCATTTAACAATGGAAATTCATTGTGTTACATGGTATTGCGATACACATATATTTAACATAATACGCTCATACAAAAATCAAATGAATGAATTTTTGAGTTGACAGTAAACAAAAATAAACAATTAACAATAAATAAAAAAATATATAGTCATGCATCGAAAATAATATAAATGTATATCAAGTTAGGTGGAATGACTATAGGAGTTTACAAGTATCGATAATGTATAGCATTATTATCATTGCTTTATAGTCTTATTATTATTATGATTAATACTATTATTATTAACAATGGAAATTTGTTGTGTTGCATGGTATATACATATATATATAAATTTTACAAGTATCGAAAATGTATTGCATTATTATCATTGCTATTATAGTCTTATTATTATTATTATTATTAACAAGGGAAATTTATTGTGTTACATGGTATTGCGGTACACATTATATACATATGTATATAACATTTAACCAGTATCGATAATTTGAACTTGAACTTGAGCTTGATTATAATTGTTATTATTATAAATTTTATGATTATTATTATGATTATTATTATTGTTATTATTATTATGGTTATAATTACAATTGTAACTAACATCATTATTATATTATTATTATTATCTTTATTAATTATAATATTATTATTATGAAAAGGTATCGTTACTACGTTATTATGTTTTCGGGTTGTCCGTCCGTCCGTCCGTACGTCCCGTTCTTGTGATCGCGTTATCTCAAGAACCGATTGATTAATTCACGCCAAACTTGAATCATGTATGTATCTTGCAGAGCCAATGAACTGATTAGATTTTGGGGTCACGAGATCTAAGGTCAAAGGTCACAGGGCTCATTATGTATGCAAAAATAGCTTGTGATCGCGTTATTTCAAGAACCCATTGATGGATTCCCACCAAACTTGGATCATGTATGTAACTTGCAGAGCCAATGAACTGATTAGATTTTGAGGTCACAAGATCCAAGGTCAAAGGTCACAGGGCTCAATATGTATGCAAAAAAAGCTTGTGATCGCGTTATCTCAAGAACCCATTGATGGATTCCCGCCAAACTTGGGTCATGTATGTATCTTGCAGAGCCAATGAATTGATTAGATTTTGGGTTCATGAGGTCAAAGATTAAGGGTCAAACATGTATATGAAGCGTAGCTTTCAATCACAATATTCTGAGAACCTTTTAATGGATTGCAATCAAACTTGAATTTTAAAAATTGCTTCTGTTTTGGTTTGTAAAATTGCTCCATGGCGCAGTCCCCCTTTTTATAGAACGACAGCAAACATTCTATTTTAATATTTTAAACAATTTATTTAATTTAATTATTTACGGTATGTGTATAATCAGTCATTTGTCACCATTCATAATCCAAGTTTCTTATGTTTTATAACTGCTGTTGTGTGCAATTTATACTTATAGAGTGTGCAAATGTTATGTATTGTTCCTTTATTATGCCAGGCCCTCGGATAGCACTTTGTTGACGAAGGCGCAACCCTGCTGTAATAAAACTGAATATTGACTGAAATTAAAGAAATCAGACAGTAGATTTTAAGGGGCCTCAAAACAAGACTATAAAGTGCGACCCAGAAACAACAAAACCGAGAATTATCGATGTTTTATCATAACTTAATCACAATTATAATTAATAAATGACACATATTTGTAAAGCTTAGATCCTCTTTCATTTGATGCAACTCATATGATGCATATTTCACGCATGAGTGATTAAAAGCAATTTGAAGGAAGGAAACCAAAAAGTCATTTGGCAGGCGGTATCTGAATTTCAAAGAAAAATTCACATTTCTAGAAAGTTCTGTTTGCTTAAAGTGATGCTTGCATTTCCATAAAGTGATTACACAAATTTGTTTTCACTGGCTGCCTTCCGTAGCAACAAACGGAATTGATAAATACTTAACTCCATTTCGTTGACGATCAGACATAGACGAAAGACTTCATGCGTGGCTGATTGTCAATGAAATGGAGTTAAGTCTTTTGTCGATCCTGCTTGTTGCTACGGCAGGCAGCCAGTGAAAACAAACTTTTTTAATTGAATCATCGAAATGAAAGCATCACTTTGAACAAACAGAACTTTGTTATTCCTTGCTCATTTTTCCTGATTGAGGTGTCATATGAAAGGGCAGAAACTGAACTTTCTAGAAATGTGAATATTTCTTCGAAATTCAGATACCGCCCGCCAAATGACTTTTTGGTTTCCTTCCTTCAAATTGCTTTTAATCACTCATGCATGAAATGTGCATCATATGAGTTGCATCAAATGAAAGAGGAGGATCTAAGCTTTAAAAATATGTGTCATTTATTAATTATAATTGAGATTAAGTTATGATAAAACATCATTAACTCTCGATTTTGTTTTTTTCTGGGTCGCACTTTATATATGAACAGAATTTGTGTAAATATAACATGACAGGGATGTTTTTGGAAGTCAGGTTGATCTCTTTGTAATTTGTAGATTGGTGTTTATATCTACCATCTATTGTTGAATGCTACAATGTTGAAAGATAATACATTTCAATGATATTTGTACCCACCAGGTCAGGAAACAACAGCCAATGTTCTCTCCTTCACTCTTCTTCATCTTGGTAGAAATCCTCAAGTCATGAAAAAGTAAGTATGGTATCTTCAAATAGATGTACCTCCCCTATAAATCTAATGGTACCATATCCTTACATACTATGTACCTCCCTTATAATTTTTTTTTATACCACAAAATTATTGTATATAAGTGCGATCAGGATTATTTTTAGGGATTGAAACAATAATGGTTCAGATTTTTTCTCCTTATCAGACCTCATGTTTTTTAATTTTTTTTGTTAATTGCAATAGCTGATGAAGTTATAAATGATGAATTTTTTGTAGGGGTATCAGAGATTTATATTGACAAATAGAATTGCTTCTTTCGGGCACCTTTGCTGTTTTATTTTCTGATCCAAGTCAAAATTACCTTTATTACAATTTTCTGATATACTACTAAACTCACGTTTAGAAACTTTTTCTGGTATTCATCGATTTGCTTAATTTACCTTCTCAGTTAACAATTATTGTGATTTTTTTGTTCAGTAGAAATATTACTGATACCTGCTGATCCTAAAGAAATCAATTTATTAAAACTAAAGGATATTTATAAATCCTTTTGATCTTTTTATTTTTACACAGACTCCGTGATGAAATTGATACTGTATTGAAAGGGAGAAACTATGTTGAATATTCAGATGTCGGCAAGATGAAGTATCTAACCTTGGTAAGACTGTAATTCTTTTCTTTTTACATCAAGAGGTTAAACTTTTTGTTATGAACTGTAGGACTAAAGTTTCATTCACAAAAACAATGTCCGATGAAGACCCAATACTATGTTGTTGTTTTTTACAATTTAAAAAAAAAGTGGTATCTTACTTATGGCAACCGTTTGTGAAGGCCTTGCTGTAGCATCAATGTTTATAATTTGTTACTGATTAAACTTCTGGATTTCCTAGTTCATAAATATACTTCTCAAACATGCATACTCAGGAGCTTTGAACCTTATTTCATATGCCTGTTACCTTACAGGGCATTTATTTACAGGATATGTATGTATGATTTTTAAGTTTCCCTTCATCTTTGAGGAAATCCATTTTTAATCTACAACGATAGAATGCTGAAAGTTCTTAGCAAATGTATATTATTGACTGTCTTCTTTTTCAGGTTTTGAAAGAGACTCTTAGAATCAACCCTCCTATTGGTCATTTGAATAGACTTTTACCTCATGAGATGGATATATGTGGATACAAAGTACCTAAAGGCAGTGTTGTAATGGTAAGTATGTATATCCACAGTCAATGATGACGATTCACATCATTTGTATGGCGCCATATATCTGTTTTTAAAAAACTTTCAAAGGCGCGATCGAGCTCCTCCAATAAAGTTAACATTTAAATGTCTGAAGGAAGATCCGAGTCTTGAGCGAAGCTTTGAAGTGGTCCTGGTTGTCAATTTCGCAGAGAAATGATGGGAGGGAGTTCTACGGGCGAGGAGTAATAGAGGAAAATGCCCGGTCTCCATATCCCTTGGGATGAGTAATGGGCATCTGGAGAGTAAGGCTAGATCAGCGAAGTCCAGGGCGAAGGTGACGCCGCTCAATTAAAGAGGACACATACAGTATCCTGGGATCTGATAATGAATCGCCTAAGGAGCAGCAGGACCTTGAATTCAATTCTGCTCTTGACAGGAAGCCAATGCAGCTCAGCCAGGACAGGAGAGATGAGATCATGCTTCCTCAGCCCAATAGCTGCTGCATTCTGTACTGCTTGAAGTCTGTTCAAGATTGCAGAAGGAAGGCCAGCTAGAAGACTGTTACAGAAATCAAGTCTTGAGGAAATTAGTGAATGGATAAGGCTTTTTGCTGCCGTCCTCGTAAGCAATGGTCTAATAGATGCAATGTTACGAAGCTGGAAGCAAACAGTCTGACATACCTGTGAAATATGCCTGTCCATTTCCATGGACTGATCGAAGTAGAGCCAAGGTTACAGGTGCTTACCATAGGAGAGACGGACACATTGCCAACTTGGAGGTCCATGAAGCTGATCTTGTTCCTCATGTTTGCTGAAGAGATGATGAGATATTCGGTCTTGTCTTCATAGAGTTTCATGAAATTCTTCACGATCCATTGACGGATATCGGCAAGGCAGGCGGTCATCCAGGCAGCTATGGCCTTTTCATCAGTTGCCACTCTTAGATCAAACAGCTGAGTGTCATCTGCATAGAAGTGGACTAGTAGACCATGTTGACGGGCTACGGAAGTGTGCAACATGAAGATTATAGGTCCAAGGAAGGAACCCTGCAGAACACCATAGGTCAAGGAAGCTTCATCCGACACAGTTCCATTGATTTTCACAGCCTGTCATCTGCAGTGAAGATACGACCTGAACCATTCAGGGGCATCTGCATAGAAGTGGACTTGTAGACCATGTTGACGGGCTACGTAAGTGTGCAACATGAAGATTATAGGTCCAAGGAAGGAACCCTGCAGAACACCATAGGTCAAGGAAGCTTCATCCGATACAGTTCCATTGATTTTCACAGCCTGTCATCTGCAGTGAAGATACGACCTGAACCATTCAGGGGCAGCGTCATCGAGCTTGAAGTCCCGTTGCAGCCTCTGGGGAAGGACTTTGTGATCAATCGTATCGAATGCAGTAGATAAGTCCAAAAAGAATTACTATAGCTGCTTTCTTCTTGTCGACTGCCCTCAAGATGTCATAAGATATTTTCAAAGGAGCAGTCTCCACGCTGTGAAGCCCTTGTACGGAGACTGCATGGTCTCTCAAGGTGTGATGTCAGTCTTTTGGCTACTACTTTCTTCAAGGACTTTGACGAGGAAAGGCAGGTTAGATATAGGTCGATAGCTGCTCATCTCATCACGATCTAGGGATGACTTCCTCAGTACAGGAGTAACATGAGCAAGTTGCAGTTCAACAAATTACTTATGGCCAAAGAAATTACATTCTTGTATCCATTCGCCTGCGTAGTAAAAAGCGAGACATAGGCGCCGCTTTTCCGGTGGCGGCGGCGGCCTCAACATCAAAAACCTAACTTAAGGTTAAGTTTTTGAATTTTAATATAATTTTAGAAGTATACCAGTAAGTTTTTATGCCTCCGCTACAAAGTAGCCGGAGGCATTGTTTTCTGGTTGTCCGTACGTACGTCCCGTTCTCATGATCGCGTTATCTCAAGAACCAATTGATGGATTACCGCCAAACTTGGATCAAGCATGTATCATGCAGAGCTAATGAAGTGATTAGATTTTAGGGTCACAAGGTCAAAGGTCTCAGGACTCATTATGTATGCAAAATAGCTCGCTATCGCGTTTTTTCTAGAACCGATTGATGGATTACTGCCAAACTTGAATCATGCATCTTGCAGAGCTAATGAACTGATTAGATTTTGGGGTCAAAGTTCAAATGTCACAGGGCTCATTATGTATGCAAAATAGCTTGTGATTGCGTTATCTCAAGAACCGAATTATGGATTACCGCCAAACTCAGGTCATGTATGTATCTTGCATAGCCAATGAGCTGATTAAATTTTGGAGTCACAAAGTCAAAGGTCACAGGGCTCATTATGCATGCAAAATAGCTCTCAATAGATCTCAAGAACCGATTGATGGATTCCTGCCAAACGTGGGTCCATCAATCAGTTCTAGAGATAACGTCGTGTATGTATCTTGCAGAGCCAATAAACTGATTAGATTTTGGGGTCACAAGGTCAAAGTTCAAAGGTCATAGGGCTCATTATGTAGCACAAATAGCTTGTGATCACGTTATCATGAGAACCAAAAGACAGATTACTATCAAACTCAAGACATGTATATGTATCTTGCAGAGCCAATGAACTGATTAGATTTTAGGGTCATCAGGTCAAATGTCATGGGGCTCATAAAGAATGCCTATATATAGCTTGTGAATGCATTATTAAAGATGACAGATGGATTACATTTACAATCAAACTTGAATTTTAAAAGTTGCTTCCGTTTTGGTTTGTAAAATTGCTCTATGGCGGAGGCATCATTTTTTACTGCGCGCAGTCAAAGTTCCATCTAGTTATTCAATGAAACTTAGACTAAAAGGTTATCCCCAAGTATCCCCAATCATGTGAGTAGAATTTCAGATCAACAAACTTAGACTATGTTGTGGCATCAACATCAAGACTTAACATAAGGTTACGATTTTGAATTGTTATCATAATTTTGAAAGTATACATTCCTATTCCATGAAACTTGAACATAGGGGTTATCAAGTATCACAAATCATATGATGCAAAGTCCAGGTCAAAGGCCATTTTAGGTCAGTAGACTTGGATTATGTTTTCACAACTTAATATGAGAATTAATAAATCACTTTTTATTATTTGTTCATATGCCATTAAAGTTATCAATCTTGGTACAAATTCTAGTAAATAATTTTCCTGATGATTCTTAGCCGATATTCAGTTCAAAATGCTGATTATATTCAGAGGATTTCATTTTTTTTTTTTGGGGGGGGGGGGGGGCCTGCTAATGGGCCACCCTGCCTATAAATAATTTCCCAACCTCAATTTTTCATCATATCGAATTGCGTAATTCAGGCGAGACCGCCGAGAGCATTTCCCTTGTTTTAAATCTGGGATGAAAAAGAACAGAATACAAATAAATGGGACCAGCAAAATTAACTGATATAACTAGAGGTTGTCATAAGCAGTGTTCATGATAACTTCCTCTGTATTTCCTTTCTGTATTGCTTACCATAATTTTGTATTATAATGTGTAGGATTATGAAAGTAATAAAGATATGGTAGCCTATTAATCAAAGCATGTTTTACAATTTCTATTCAGGTGCCGATATATGGAATGGGTAGGAATGAGAAGCATTTCAAGAATCCAGAGAAGTTTGATCCGGAAAGATTCACAAGGGATGAAGACAGGTAGGAATAAAATCAATCATAATGTGAAAGAAAAACCTGATATGTTCAGGGATATTTATTAGTGTTAGTTGGAGAAGAAAAAAAAAACAATCAGGGAAATTTATTAATATATTTCATAACCATTTCTTTGCTTTGTTTTGATGATCTCTGACCTTCTAAAATTAAATTTAATGAAAAACATATAAATAGAATGGTACTTATATATGTGACCCGGCAACACCAAACCCCAAAACAGTCACATGGTGTGATTTTCAGTTTGGGTTAAATATATATGTATTCCTGCAGGATAGTCAAATTGTACTCTACTTACATTTTGTGAAAGAATGTACTCTTTATCTTATTTCAAAAAGGTATTTTGGCAGTGTGTTGTTGACCTATATTATGTTTGTTTGATTTTGAGTCTGTCTAGTGTTGTAATTTTCATTTCTTTACAACCCTGGCCCACTGGTCTCACTTATATCTCCTATAACTTTGAAATAGAGTAAGCTGTTGTATTGATACATAGACAAAATAGAGAACGGGATGTGCCTAACTGATCTGTTACAAGATTTAGGACAATCCATTATCCCTTTTCAGAAATTTGTATCGAGTTTTAATCCTCTTGTTGTCATCTCACACAATATGCTTTCTCCAAGTAATATTGTTTCAGAACAGACATTTTTCTCTTTTTTAGTTGGGTTAGGGAATTTGATGAATAATAAATATTTGATTTTAAAGCCGAGAATCTTGGCTTAGAATCAGACCTAAAGTATCAAAATAATTTTTTTTTAATCTGGCAACTTTTTGATGGTTTGTTGGTGCTGGGTCACATTATTGACACACACTTGAAAAATGACGTCTCAATAATCGTATTATAAACATGTTAATAAATCTCAAGTCAGACTAAAGGTAAAATTTTGATTTAAAAAAAAAATTCTGGTGATTGGAATGACCCCAACCTATGTTGTACTAATATCTTTCAAAGCCAATAGGAGGAATCTAACCGTAAATATAGTCCTAGTGCAAGAGGATAAACAAGAAAAAAACCAATTTTGTTTTCTCTCCACGAAACCTGTGGCCTTGACCAACTGTCTGTATTATTATCTTATATTATGAACTTTCTTTTTTGATCATGCAGCCCCTTATTTGCGTACATGCCATTTTCTCTGGGTGCTCGATCCTGCATTGGCCAGACGTTTACTATGGTGAGTAAATCAGTCAAAGTAGTTCAATCTACAAGCCGGACCCCCCCCCCCCCCTCCCCTCATGGACAATATAAATCCCATAGCAGTGAATAGTTGTAAAACATGATTTTTTTAAGGAACTTGCATATCCCATACCTCTTTTTTGCATTATGGAATTGTGAATATAACTTGACATTAAATTATCATATTATTTGCGTTTCATATGAATCATGCTTTATGAGGGCTGTCGGCTGGAAACAGTCATCAGATGAACAGAAATGTTTGATGTGTTCATAATCTATATTTGTTTTCCTCTCATCTCTTGTAATGGTATTGAATGAAAAACGAAACAAACATATTTTCAATTGTTTTTTGTATCCATCAACTAGGATATATTTTCAACCATTGATGAAGATTCCTTTTGTAATTTTGATTGTATTCCTATTAGATTGAATTCAAGGTGGTCATATGTAAGCTCATTCAGCAACTGGAATTCCAACTTGTACCCAACCAGAGCTTTGAGTTTGTAGAAGAGACGCTCACTTTCAAGCCCAAAGATGGCTGCAAAAGTTACATCACAATGAGAAACATTTGACATCACAATGAAAAACCTGTGACATCACAATAACAAAACCTGTGACATCAGGATGAGAAACCTGTGACATCACAATGATAAACCTGTGACATCACAATGATATTAGGGCACATTGTGTGAGGACAGATAATATTGTTTTATATTGGGGATTTGATGTATTATTTTTAACTACACTCGCTAATGCCTAGGTCACAAATAAACCGGGCCCCGTACGATTTTCCCTATCCGGCGGCTTGCCGTGGATTTAGAGACCGTACAGGAACCTTCCGATTTACATTCTACGGCATGTGTGGTCACATATTCTGCGGTGCCCGTGAGGTGCCCGGTGAAAAATGGTAGAGTGAAATGCAAGGCACCTCGGCAGGGTGCCGGCCGGTAAGCTTACGGGCTGAATTTGTTGAATTTGTTGAATTTACCCAACAAAGTCATGGGGGGCCCGTCCGGGCACCGTCCGGAGCCCGCACGGAACCCGTGAGGTGCCCTACGGACCCTTTGCAGGCTTTCTACGGCCTAACGGTCAGATAAAAACGCTGGGAGAATTGGGAGCAGCCAACTCAGCACCACGGCGCCTGTACAGCTTAAAAAACTGTCCCGGCCCCCGTAGGAACTTTGCGGCTGGTTTTACTCGCCGTACGGGCCCCGGAGTGTATATGTGAAAGCCCCATTAGGAGCACTCTAACCACTAATCATTGTGCAGTTGTGCACATACTAACTCAAGGTACCATGATATTTGGATCACTCGGGATATGGTACCCTTTATGCACCTTAAAGGAGAAGTAATGTAGATGAAGATGCTTTTTCATGACAACACAAGTATAGTGCCAGAATAGTGCCAGAACTCAAACCTGTGGAGCGCCAGGAGGGTCAAATCTGACTCACATGAGCGCTATACAAGAACCCATTATTATTTTTATTATATGGATCTCTAGTCAAGTATCGCAAAAACTCTCCTGCAATACCTATACACAATGTAAAGGGGGGAGAGAGGGATAGTATGATACCGCAGGCCTCTTTAAGGGTTACTCTAACCCAACTATTGTGGTATAGTGAGAAAACTTGATTTTATCTTTAAGGTCATCTTAGACTAGACAGAGAGGGGCCTGTGTACTTTGCCTCATTACGCATATTCAAAATCCACAAACTAAATAGTTCAAATTGAGAGAGTTGTAATAATACTGAATCTGGATTGCTTATGGAGATGTAGGTTATTGATGGTATGTTTTATTAAACATATCTTTGTTTAGAAATATTCAGGTTGCAGAAAGACTAAATAATTGATTTAGGCGGAAGGATATTAAGAGAGTGATTAGGCAGTTTGGGAAGAAAGTTTAGGGCACTGTTCAACCAACTCAGTGAGGAGAGGTGATTGACAATCAGAGTTTTACCGTAGAGTATCCAAAACATTTCGTAATTCGGTCGAGGTATGTTAATTGATTTTTATGCCTCCGTTACGAAGTAGCCGGAGGCATTATGTTTTCGGGTTGTCCGTCCGTCCGTCCGTACGTACGTACGTCCCATTCTCGTGATCGCGTTATCTCTATAACCGACTGATGGATTCCTACCAAACTTTGGTCATGTATGTAACGTGCAGAGCCAATGAATTGAATAGATTTTGGGGTCATGAGGTCAAAGGTCACAGGGGGTCTGTCATTATGTATGCAAAAATAGCTTGTGATTGCGTTATGTCAAGAACCGACTGATGGATTCCTACCAAACTTTGGTCATGTATGTAACTTGCAGAGCCAATGAATAGATTAGATGTTGGAGTCATGAGGTCATAGGTCAAAGGGCTCATTATGTATGCAAAAATAGCTTGTGATCACATTATCATTAGAACAGATGGATAAAGGAAAGTGAAGGGATCGCATCACTGTTTAGAGGTCATGAACACATACAGTGTGTGGCCTAGTACATAATACACAATGTACATACATGTAGATTGTGTGCATTGATGACCATGTGTCTTTTCGTTGTAGTGACTTGTAAACTATGTAAGGCAGAGTGTCTCAGGCGCGGATCAAGGATTTCTTAGGGGAGGGGGCCCAACTTTTTTTTTTTTGCTCCCAAAAATTTGAAAATCGCACCGGCCGAAAAGTCGCTCAGTGGGGGGGGGGGGGGGGGTAGTGAGCACATTTTTTTTTTTTTTTTTGGTCCTGGGAAATTTAAAAATTTGCACCCACCCCTACACCCCCCCCCCCCTTGAGTGCCAAGGGGGGCCCAACCCCCCAAAAAGGTAAAAATCACGTGTTTTAACATTTTTTTTCTCAAGGGGCCGGGCCCCCCCCCCCCCCCTGGATCCGTCACTGGAGTGTCTTGTGTTTATTTTAATGTTGATGAGTGTATATACATATTTAAATGTACTTTTGTTATTTAGTTATGGTATTGAATACTGTAGCTGGAGTATAATGCACTGAGGGAAGTTTGGAGGGATTTGATTATAGATAGATATGTTTGGGTAAAAGTCAGTCAAGACTGTGTTGTGCTGTGTAAGAGGGGATACTCCATTGTAAACAAATAAGATGACAGCCTCCATGGGAAGGGTTTGATTGACCAGGTTTCGGATTGAGAAATAGTTCTTGTGCTTGTTGGAGGTATGACAAATTAAAGCATTTGTTTACATTTCTATATCTGTTATCTTGATTCCTTTTAATGTCAGAAGTTGAAGTAATATTGTAATTTTACTTAACGTTTGATTCATTTATTTCATTGGTTTGAGTCTTTGATTTAATTGGTTCAGTTATTCTATAATGAAGAGTGACAATTTTAGTTAAGTATAGATACAACATTATTCATCTGTGTATTGATATACTTCATGCATTTTTACGATCATAAATAGGATTTAAATTGTTATGATTAGATTATCGCATTATAATGTTTTGATAATAACAATTTGATGGTATAGTTAACTAGTTATTCATGCGTTGTATATGTAATAAACTCTGGAAAGTAGTTGGTATTTTATTCAAATTAAAACATTTCCCTTATAAGATTTTATTAATGATATACAATGCATTGTTTTTATCACAATTAAATTATTGCAATATTGTTTGGGCAAATTCAAATGATTATTGTATGAATAGATTATATAAATGACAAAAGAAGGCAAAATAGAGCTACCAAGTGTTCCAAGCAATGTTATGTGTAAAATAATATTCCATAAATCCCTTGTGATATTCTTGTAGAAATTCATAAATTTTTTTTTTTTTGATTATGAGACAAAATAATTTTGTTTACTTTAATGTATAACATTTTGTGTGTGAATTATAATCAGGTCTTTTATTTGTGTGACCTAAGGTATGTTGATTTTTATTAAAAGTGTTTTTATTTTAGGGAGAAGCCTGTACTATTGCCCTTTTCTTGTTTTGCTTGTCAGAGAAACTTGTAGCCAAAGTGGCACACATGAAACTTTATGAATTCTAAAAAAAAAAAAAAGGGGGGGGGGGGGTGTCCTGACCAATGAGGCACCGGAGCTTGATATGATCATTCCTAGATCTGCCAGTGTTAATTGTGCAGCTATATCAGCTGGTGTTTAAAGCCCCACTGTCCTACTTAATTGTAGCTACTTGCTCCCTCTATGTAGGAAACTTCCCCAATCGGCATCTGTTGGTCCCCCATGATCCTCTTTTTCTTATGTTAGTTGAGAGCTGAGTTAATGAGATAGCCCCCCCCCCCCAAAGTTTTGTTTTTAAAGACGGGCCCCCACCCCTGGCAACAACAAAAAGCAAAACGATAGATTTACCCTTTCCTCTTTTTTTTTGCTCAAGGGGGAGGGGTGTTGAGTTTTTTTAATAGTGCTCACTACCCTAGATCCGCCACTGATGATGACAATAATGATGATGGTGGTGGTGATGATGGTGGTGGTGATGATGGTGGTGGTGATGATGATGATGGTTACGATGATGACGATGATGATACTGCAATGATAAGGGGTGATGACGATGGTGGTGGTATGGTGATGATGATGATGATGATGATGATGACGATGATGATGCATGATGACGATGATGATAATTGTGATGATGGTTATGATGATGGATATGATGGTGATGACGGATGGTCACTGGTGATGGTGATGATGATAGTTATGACGATGATGTAGATGATGATGATGATGGTGAAGATGGTTATGACATCATGGTATCATGCAGTTTGATGATTTTTTTTCCCTCAAATTTAAGGGTTTTTGAAGTGCAGTTCTTGTGTGACTATTTTTAGGGTACCGGTACTCTTTCTCCCAGGCCAGGCGAAACTGAAAACTAATCAGTCTTTTGCCGCAGATGACGCTGTTGTCGTACGCTGAGTGCCCTGTCAGTTATTATTTTGCATAGTGGCACTCGATTCACGTATAAAACACGGTAGTCCAGCGAAATCAAAATGCGGAAGTGGATGGACATGCGCATAGTATGGGAATTTACATTGACTGCATTTTGTACACAAATGATCAGACAGAACATGACCGACAACATCCACGGTCGACCATGGACTACATGAGAACTGTATTTGGCCAAACGGTAGCCAGATAATTATTAACGGAAGTCTATGCCTAGAATGTCTTGGGCTGACCGGCCCTGGTGTCTGAGAACCTTATTTGTCATTGATGAATTCATTTGAGCATACAAGGCGACGTCGACTGATGTTTTTGAGGAAATAATCTGCTCCAAACGAAGTCAAATCTGGGCTGGCATTGATTGGCACGTTTGTTTGGAAAGACTGGAACTGTGCTAAAAATAAATTTGTCAGTTCAGTTATTATTATGCAGCGGAACATTGATACATGATACTGAGAAGGGTAACAAGAGGTGAGATCCTTTTCTATTTGATCATGTTGATGATACGTCTCCTATATAGCCTAGCCCTAGACCCTAACTGTTAGGCCTAACGTATTAGATCTATAAAGAGTCTAGATCTATCATCTAACTTAGTAGTACTACGCCCTACGGTTGGCTGTCAGTGCAGTGTCAGTCTAGATCTAGGCTAGACCGAATTTCCGTCTCTTTCGTTCGTTAGCCTCTTATTGGGGTAGGGTCGGCTCTCTCTTTAGAGACGGAAGCCGTTTATACACATGTCCTTGCTAACGCCACGGCCAGTCCTGGTCGTAGCGTTTTGCCCCAAAATCCCCAAAATGTCATTTTACCTCGAGCATGTTATATTGTAAATTAGGCCTAAGCTATAATAAATCAGTTTCACTTACCAACTTGACTGAAATAATCAGTTTAATAGTCCCTTTTTAGGAAATTATGGGTCAAAATCGAAATCCATTTTGAAAATCTTTTTCAACATGGATTCCGATTTTGACCCATAATTTCCTAAAAAGGGACTATTAAACTGATTATTTCAGTCAAGTTGGTAAGTGAAACTGATTTATTATAGCTTAGGCCTAATTTACAATATAACATGCTCGAGGTAAAATGACATTTTGGGGTTTTGGGGGCAAAACGCTACGACCAGAACTGGCCGTGGCGTTAGCAAGGACATGTGTATAAACGGCTTCCGTCTCTAAAGAGAGAGCCGACCCTACCCCAATAAGAGGCTAACGAACGAAAGAGACGGAAAATTCGGTCTAGATCTAGGCTAGACAGCAATAACCATCTGATTTGGGTCATTTCTTTAATAAAACTGACATTTGTTGTCATTCCCCAATACAGATGGCAACCCAGAGATCTCGTACCGCGGGGATAGCTATAGCCAACAATGGCAGCTTTTTGTGTCAAAACATTTTCTCCCCGATTTTCTTTATTTATAATTTAGATCTAATTTTCTGATTTCTAAATCAGATGTAAATTAGGTCGGTATGTCATTTGTCCTAATTACAGTTATCAAAATTTGATAACTTAATATTAAATAGACAATTTACGGACTTACGTATATGAATTATCCAATTTGTATCTCAGATCCGCGAAGCAGTACGTTCATGCATTCGAAATATTACCCGGCGGCCGATATATTTCCGGGTCCACCTACCAAAACATAGCCAAATGGCCAATCAGAGCACTCGTTTCGTGGGAGTTCGTTGGTCAAGCTGGGCCGACTCGTATGTAGCTACGGTAGCTATTGGACGTTCGAAAAGAAAAAATGAATATTCATCAACTAAAACCAAGACGGATAATGTTGACGACGAGACTTTCTCGGATTAATCATTAATTTAGGATCTAAATGAGCAAGCTATCGTAAGTCGAATAAGCTATATATATGTTATTTTTAATTTGTGTTGTAATTGCAGCAGTTATGAGGATGTAAAGAGTGAAAATCTCGTTGCATATCTCATTCATCGCGGTCCGGTCGAACCGAACCATTTGTTCCGTACAGTGCCTCACAGAAAGAGGTCCCCAGACTTCAGTCTCTGTAATCGGAGGTCTAGTAGTTACCTGTAGTTACCTGTAGT